CGTTTTTGGTACAACCGGTTTCAACGGTTTGATTTTCTTTAATGCTTTATACTGCTAATAATGGTTTTTAACACCTGTCCTAATACCAGCATTCGCTCTTAAGTACCACAGTATTTTTCGTACTATTCTCCTAGTTATGAAATGGAAGATTATCGGGGAACTTTCATTATGTTATATTCCTACATTGATTCTGAGTTTATCCTGAAGCCGTCTTGTCGTCAATCTCAATTTATCGCTTAAATTAGTCTATAGTCGGGCTATCGTATTTCACTTGTGTTGTCTTTGTTCCTTGTCGTATCTCGTCTAGGATGAGAAATCGGTGAAACCTGTTTTAATGATTAATAATGCTTTCCTGTCTACTGTTTCTGTCCCCCTTTATTGAATCAAGGAAATTTCAAAGCGTTTGTTTTCTTACCGATTATGTATCATAGGAGAAGGAACGCCTTCGAAGTTTGAAACGACAGGAGCGCGAAGCTCTGGTCGAATGGAAGAAACCGAGAGACGATCTGTTGTGTGACGATCATGCGCCCTTCCCTCCGCTGCCGTACGTCGTGCTACCGCCGTCCATCGGCGCCGAGGGATTTGGTGACTGCCTGTCCTTGGTGGAGTTCACAAACTCTTTCGCGTTGTCACTCGAGTTGGAAGACTATTTTCCTGACGGCCCGTTTACTGTTAGCGCGTTGTATGAGGCGCTGTTCGACTGTGACGTGAATGGTCCCTTCTCGAAGCTATGCATGATGTTCTTGCAACATATCTTCTTACTGCAAGAGCAGGAGGACGGCGATGAGGTGGAGTTGGAACGCAAGGAGGACGCACAGCTGGAGAACTGTGAATTGGATAACAAATACTTTCGGAAGTACATCGAACAGGCGACGCGACTTTCGCAGAAGACCAGAAAAATTCACGGTAGGTGCTCTGAGGAAATTTGCAAGGTCAACATATTTTTTTCCAGTAAGGCATGGGTTACAGAGTTGTGGTGATCTGTGACCCCTCCTTGGTCATTATTTATTTCCCATTGATTAGTCCGGAGAACTCCGTCAAAAGCGTGCATTGACAAATACACCTATTTGCATGTTTTTTTTAAATTGTAGATTAAATCTGTATATACAGATGAATTTCTTTCTAATCACTTGCGATGATGATGATTATTATTAT